ACATGAAATCCAATAGACCACCTATGATAGAACTATACGTGGTGAGTTTTGAATAAATGTGCTATTCTTCCACCAATTTATTTCTTTCATTCTGACGAGGACAGCATCGCATATTTTATTCTTCCAGGAAAAAGATGGAACGTTTTCAAAGACCCTGTGAATTTGAATAAACTACCATCAAAGAGATCTATGTGGTGGTTTTTAGACAAATATTATATAGCTTGACAAATTAATTTCCTTCTCTGTGACCAGGATAAAATTTTATGGACTAATGCACCTCCAATAGAAAAAAATGAAAGAACAAGACATCCCTTTTGTTACTTTGTACGGCTGCATATTGTTCTTAGAACCTTGTACTATGTTTTCAATAAATTTAAAAATGGCTTTTATCCTTGTTTTACCGGGCTAGGTAATGATTTTCCAGTGGATTTGTCCATTATAAATCATATGAGTCTACTTATCCCAAAAAAAATTGTAAATCATATGAGTCTGATTGTTAACCTGAAGTATTGCTGAATTGGTACTGAAAACGTTTAGTCTCCTTTCGATCTGCAAAGATGTTGGTCAATTACCGTGCTTTCTTAATTGTATTGTTCATGAGAGATTGCTTGACTTTGAGTTAAGTTTCCTTTGAATTCAAACATAATTGGATTTACTGGAGTAATACAAATATCCTTTGCATCTGCTTTAATTAATGACCATCGAAAATGATGAATGATGTGATTTCTGTGGCCATAGACACTTGCAGAGGGAGCAATGGTTGGATATACACCCAGGGGAATGCAACTTGCTCAAGAGACACTGGTATTTTATGGTCTATACTTGTATCAGAATTAACTAATTTGTGTTATTTATAATACCTTTATTTGCCATCATCCAGGTCAATATGAATTCTAGGGGCTTTATAAATTTTGTAATAAAACTTACCCAAAAATTACCGTCGCAACAGCGCCAATGATACTACAAGAATGGTTAGTTTTTGCTGCAACAGCTGCCCAAAAACATAACATCTAAAGACAAGTTACAACTTGGAGAACTTCTACTATGAAATAAAAAACCAAAAACGGCATAAAAGAATCCCTCTTTTTTGAAGAAAAAGAAGAAATAATACATAATATCGTAACACAGAAAAAAAAACAACAATAACAACTAACTAACCTAAGAAAGCTCGTTAAGATACTTCACATCCCAACTATTTAATTTACTTGCAGATTTCTTGTCCTTACGTTTGAGAGAGCGAAATAGTGTCTTAGTTTTGTTGGAAGAAGATTTACGAGAAAGTAATAATACAAAACACTTTTCACATTTATATTATTTCATTTCTGGAAGGTACAACATTCAACAACGTCAGAAGATATTTTTGAAACTAAGCTATAGTAACCGACATTAGATGGTTGAATAAAGTCAACAAAGGCAGCAACAATTAATGCAGTCAAATATATATATATATATATATATTTATATTTATTTATTTATTTATTTATTATTATTATTATTATTTTTAAAATAGATTATTTGAAACGTGATGCACTGATGTAACGGACCTATTAATTGTTATGAATTAGAAATTCTTTTGGAAGTAGAGATTAAAAAAACGACTCTAATTATCTACATCAACTTCTAGTTCTTAACGATTGGTATGGCTAATACATCAACACCGCTCGATTCTCTATTTCACGTGGGCAATTCAATTTAGCCTCGAGGTGATTCATAAACTAAGGTAAGTTGTTTAAAGCACATATTTATGAACGGATTGGTTGAACCTATAACATATAGAATAGGTCAAAATTACTTCTTTTTTTTGTCTTTCTAAAAAGTAACTTCTAAGTAGGAACTTTTCTGCATCTTTAATCTTTCTTTCTCTCACCCCAATAGAGTTCTAGCGTTTAATATCAACTTCGGCTAAACCATTCGAGTAATATTCTTGTACCTGTATATTATCATATAATATGTGTTTTTGAGCCAAATTATTTTTAAAGAATGTATTTTGGAATAGTAGATTATTGAAAAATGTGTGATTAAAAAATGAGGAAAAGTTTTGGATTTACATATAATATTATTTATTGAAAAATGTGTGATTGAAATTAGATCAAATCATTGTTTAAAAATGTATTTTTTTTGAAAGAATGCGGCTTAAATAGGGCTGCATTACTAATTTGGAGCTAAAGTGTAACTTTAGTGGCTGATTTGAATTAAATTAAACTTAGTGACCAACTTAGACTTTTCCTTTAACTTAAATGACCAAAATATATATTTTACCCCTTCTAAAACACTGCTTTACTACTTATCCCTGTTTTCTCTGCTTCTGTGGACAAGAATTCTGTGCAACATAATTGATCCATAAGCTCATGTTAACCATTCCTATCTTCATGCTGGGGACATAGACCGTGGTCAAAAAATTTTCGAAGACTACATGAAATCCAATAGACCACCTATGATAGAACTATACGTGGTGAGTTTTGAATAAATGTGCTATTCTTCCAGCAATTTATTTCTTTCATTCTGACGAGGACAGCATCGCATATTTTATTCTTCCAGGAAAAAGATGGAACGTTTTCAAAGACCCTGTGAATTTGAATAAACTACCATCAAAGAGATCTATGTGGTGGTTTTTAGACAAATATTATATAGCTTGACAAGTTAATTTCCTTCTCTGTGACCATGATAAAATTTTATGGACAAATGCACCTCCAATAGAAAAAAATGAAAGAACAAGACATCCCTTTTGTTACTTTGTACGGCTGCATATTGTTCTTAGAACCTTGTACTATGTTTTCAATAAATTTAAAAATGGCTTTTATCCTTGTTTTACCGGGCTAGGTAATGATTTTCCAGTGGATTTGTCCATTATAAATCATATGAGTCTACTTATCCCAAAAAAAATTGTAAATCATATGAGTCTGATTGTTAACCTGAAGTATTGCTGAATTGGTACTGAAAACGTTTAGTCTCCTGTCGATCTGCAAAGATGTTGGTCAATTACCGTGCTTTCTTAATTGTATTGTTCATGAGAGATTGCTTGACTTTGATTTAAGTTTCCTTTGAATTCAAACATCATTGGATTTACTGGAGTAATGCAAATATCCTTTGCATCTGCTTTAATTAATGACCATCGAAAATGATGAATGATGTGATTTCTGTGGCCATAGACACTTGCAGAGGGAGCAATGGTTGGATATACACCCAGGGGAATGCAACTTGCTCAAGAGACACTGGTATTTTATGGTCTATACTTGTATCAGAATTAACTAATTTGTGTTATTTATAATACCTTTATTTGCCATCATCCAGGTCAATATGAATTCTAGGGGCTTTACCCTGAATGTGAGAATGGGAAATGATCTCCTCCTTGCAGCCTCTGGTGAAAAAGTAAGCCATAGCAAGAAGTTATATCTGCTTCTTCCATTTTTTATTCGCCATTCGTCTTCTATCTCTGTAACCTTTTTCTTAACTCATTTTAAGTTTTTGTCTATGATGGTTCTTTCTTTCAAAAGCTAACAGTTTTGAAATTGGCCGACAGACCGGTGGATACACGACTGCCAACTTAATATGGGACATGATGCAAGCTCGTCGCTTAACCCCTTCACTTCCTGCTGTTCAAGCATATTACAATGGATTAAAAGTGAGTCTTCCATTCGTATTGCAATTAATAATGGAAAGAGTTGAGCCCAATATCTACACCACCAGATTGGCCTTCCTAACTTGATCGAAAATTCTTACATGATATAAAGTAAGTGTGGTTTATTGCATTTTAATTCTCTTTGAATTTCAGGAACGAGAGATACCCGAGGACGATCCACGACTGATGTTAGCAACAACGTCAGAAGATATTTTTGAAACTAAGCTATAGTAACCGACATTAGATGGTTGAATAAAGTCAACAAAGGCAGCAACAATTAATGCAGTCAAATATATATATATATATATATATTTATATTTATTTATTTATTTATTTATTATTATTATTATTATTTTTAAAATAGATTATTTGAAACGTGATGCACTGATGTAACGGACCTATTAATTGTTATGAATTAGAAATTCTTTTGGAAGTAGAGATTAAAAAAACGACTCTAATTATCTACATCAACTTCTAGTTCTTAACGATTGGTATGGCTAATACATCAACACCGCTCGATTCTCTATTTCACGTGGGCAATTCAATTTAGCCTCGAGGTGATTCATAAACTAAGGTAAGTTGTTTAAAGCACATATTTATGAACGGATTGGTTGAACCTATAACATATAGAATAGGTCAAAATTACTTCTTTTTTTTGTCTTTCTAAAAAGTAACTTCTAAGTAGGAACTTTTCTGCATCTTTAATCTTTCTTTCTCTCACCCCAATAGAGTTCTAGCGTTTAATATCAACTTCGGCTAAACCGTTCGAGTAATATTCTTGTACCTGTATATTATCATATAATATGTGTTTTTGAGCCAAATTATTTTTAAAGAATGTATTTTGGAATAATAGATTATTGAAAAATGTGTGATTAAAAAATGAGGAAAAATTTTGGATTTACATATAATATTATTTATTGAAAAATGTGTGATTGAAATTAGATCAAATCATTGTTTAAAAATGTATTTTTTTTGAAAGAATGCGGCTTAAATAGGGCTGCATTACTAATTTGGAGCTAAAGTGTAACTTTAGTGGCTGATTTGAATTAAATTAAACTTAGTGACCAACTTAGACTTTTCCTTTAACTTAAATGACCAAAATATATATTTTAATTTTGGATTTACATATAATATTATTTATTGAAAAATGTGTGATTGAAATTAGATCAAATCATTGTTTAAAAATGTATTTTTTTTGAAAGAATGCGGCTTAAATAGGGCTGCATTACTAATTTGGAGCTAAAGTGTAACTTTAGTGGCTGATTTGAATTAAATTAAACTTAGTGACCAACTTAGACTTTTCCTTTAACTTAAATGACCAAAATATATATTTTACCCCTTCTAAAACACTGCTTTACTACTTATCCCTGTTTTCTCTGCTTCTGTGGACAAGAATTCTGTGCAACATAATTGATCCATAAGCTCATGTTAACCATTCCTCAAAACCCGAATCCATGTCAATTTCCTTACCAAACAACCTTAAAATCTACTAGATTTCCAAGCAGGGAAAAAACCATTCTTCCCATAATTTCAAGCACAAAATATGATGAAGACAACCAGAAAAACCAATCTTCAGCAGGTAGAATCAAGCGTCTGGTTCTTCCTCAACAAGGCAGAGCAAAAGTCGACCCAAATCCCGATAGAGAATTCTATGCTTATCCACGTTTCGTGGCACATGTTGATGATAAATTTATATCGACATTGACAAATCTTTATAGGGAAAGATTGAGGCCGGAAATGGAGATCCTTGATCTGATGAGCTCATGGATTAGCCATTTGCCTAAAGAGGTTAAGTACAAGAAAGTTGTAGGGCATGGACTCAATGCACAGGAGCTTTCCAAAAATCCGAGGTTGGATTATTTCTTTGTGAAAGATCTTAATCAGGATCAAGAACTTGCACTGGAAAATGGCAGTTTTGATGCAGTTTTGTGTACAGTTAGTGTGCAGTATCTTCAGCAGCCTGAGAAGGTCAGTTGGCTTTATTTATTTTTAGTCATTTAATATATCGTCTCGTCTAAAAGTTTAAGTTATCATTAATGTAAGGTTAAATAAGAAATACAAGATTGATCCGAAATTTCTCCCACCTATTACCCGACCAATGGATTATACAAATTCCATTTTTTCTTGATTATATTCACTTACAATTTCTTATGCCAACTCGGTCCAACTCGAGTTTTTCAGGTATTTGCCGAGGTTTTTCGGATACTAAGACCAGGAGGGGTTTTCATTGTGAGCTTCAGCAATAGACTATTCTATGAAAAAGCCGTAAGTGCATGGAGAGATGGCACTGCTTATAGTAGAGTACAACTAGTTGTTCAATATTTCCAATGCGTGGAGGGATTTACGCAGCCTGAAGTAATTCGCCAGTTAAATACGGCCGCCACGGCTGACGGTGGTGCTAAAGAGAACAACTCAATTTTCAGTAGGATTACGAGATGGTTGGGATTGGTGTCAGGATCAGATCCTTTTTATGCAGTGATAGCCTATAAGAACTTCAAACCTATATATGAATGAAGTTGTTGTTACATTGTGGGGTTAATCTGTTTGTACAGTACAGGGGCGGTTCACAGATAAAATTACAGTTTGCTGAGACGACAGCACCTGTACGACTGTCATTTTTTGTTTTTAATATTATTATTTGCAATCATTCACTATTGCAGTCGCCTTATATACCATACACGTGGCGGTTAGTGGTTCGTTGTATAAGGTAATAAAAAACTACCACTCTAATGTATCAAATCACTAACCGTCACATGTATGTCTCATAGAACGATACGACAGTGAGGGATTGCAAATAACATTACTTTTTTTTGACCAATTGCTGATGAAAATTTGACAAGTATTTTTCGGCACAAAACCCTGTTAAATCGCTCTGTACACATAGCAAAACTCTACATTGTAATGCATATATTTGTATTCTTTGTCAATATTTAAACCCCATTTGTTTTTCATTTTTGAAAGAATGAGAATGAAAAATATAGTTGGACCCCATACAAAAAATTGAAATTCAAATTTGGTGGTTTGATATGATAGATAATGGTCATATTTTTCATTTTAATGAAGAAATAATGGGAACCAAACATGGGCTTAATTTTGTAAATTCAATACAGTTCTAGTTAGCTTAACCCATGCTCAAGTTAGTCCAAATGAAAATATTTTGAATGTTAACAAGAGACTCATTTTGCACACCTCCATTTTATGCTTCATTAAGTGCTTGTTTAGTAAAGATTTTGTTAATTGATTTTTTGATTATTAGAGATAAAGTGAGTCCTACTACTTGTGAAAGAATAATTCAAAAATGCAAATTAAAATAGTGAAATAACGATAAAAAAATTGATGTTAATTGGATTAAAATCTGTATCAAACACGCTCTAAATAAAAGCTCTTTTTAATTAAAAACATTAAAATAAAATATTTTAGTTTCATTTCAAACATGATAAAAACGGGCTTTCTAGAACGCCTACGTCAAAATATATTGGAAAAATACACCATTATTCCCCAAGATATTCAAATGGGATTGTTTCTTTTCGAAGTTGTGAACCAAATTATGACCCGATCAACAGATTGCAGACTAATTTACAATTCGATTGATGGCCAGACACTAATTTATGACTCGATTGAATAAATTGAAGACTAATTTACAACTTCACCAATAGATTAGGGATTAATAGTACAAATCTTCCAAAGATATTGGTCTGAAAATCTTTTGGCTTATCTCTTTCTTGGAATATCGACTGAGTTATCTGACCCCCAAGAAGCCCTTTCTCGGCTGTTCACACCCGACCTCATCCCTACTCTTATCTTCAAACTTCAATATTTCTCGTTGAAATTAAGCTAAAAAATGGTTTCTGCAACCACGCCTCTAGTCAATCCATTTAAATGTTGTGTCTCTTCTGTCTCAAGAACATCATTCTTCCTTTCCTCCTATTCCAAAAGCCCATTAATCAGATTATCGACTTCTTCCACATGGGGTTCTCTTAAATCCAAGATTTTGCCATATAGGGTTGTCCCACTTGCAAATACCTCGGACTGGGCTCAACAAGAGGAAGAGAAAGAAAATGAGAAAGATGTGTTGGAGTGGGAAGCTGCTGGGGATATAGAGGCTAGTGGCGCTGGTTCGTTTTCGTGGGAAGGTGAAAGGGGGCAAGAGGAGAATGCGGATGGTGGAATTGTGGAGGAGGTTGAGAGTGAAGATACATATTCTGAGCCGCCTGAGGAGGCTAAGCTTTTTGTTGGAAATTTGCCTTATGATGTTGACAGTGAAAAATTGGCTCAGCATTTTGAACAAGCAGGAGTTGTGGAAATTGCAGAGGTACAATGATTCTTGCTTTAATTTCTCAAGAGTTTGGCATCTGTAATGGCTAATTTTATGAGTTTGTTTCTGTCTTTCCTTTTTAACTTAATCTTTTGGATTATTTATTGGGAGTAAACTTTAAGATTTTTTTAGTAAAGGGACTCTATTGATATTGTAGGTAATTTATAATAGAGAAACAGATCAAAGTCGGGGGTTTGGATTTGTGACAATGAGTACAGTGGAAGAAGCTGAGAAGGCTGTGGAGATGTTCAATCGTTATGTAAGTTGTTAATTTACCACTCTTTCCTACTGGTTTGTTTTCCCTTTTTCTCAATTGCGTATTATAAGTAGTTTTGGTGAATTAGGATAGATGAGAAAATATGGGTTCTTGCCATATGCTCTTTCAACCTATTTGCATTTTGTCACTTGTCATTATGGTTGCTATGTTGGGTTTCTGAGTGTGTTAATCTCTTGGTTATGACGCTGATTTGGAACATGAAGAAATTGCTTAGAACTTGGGATGTTTCTGCTTGCTATTGATATAAATATGTTCTCATTGTGGTTGCGAAGTTGGATTCATGAGTGTGTTAACCTCTTGGTTGTAATAGGGATTTAAAAAGTGAAGAAATTGCTTAGAGCTGGGGAAGGTTCTGCTTGCTATTGAGATAAATATGTTGCTCCCTGTAGCATAAATACTTGAAGAGCATGTTTGGTAATATGTATTAGACTACTTTGTATAGTAAGAAAGGAAAAAAAATTCCAAAATTTTGTCCATTATAATGTTGAGCACGGTATAGTGCTAAGTACTTTAACATGCGCTTTTTATTCTCTTTTTAGTTATTTTAAGATCAAACTGTTAGGAGTTCTGTGATTTCATTACCTTTTGCCCTACTAAAATTTCCAAATTAGACATTAATGTACTGCCAGTCAGTTTAGCGACCCTCCGTGACAAGACTGAATTCAAAACCTGTTTGTTTCTTTGGAATTTTCATTCTTGTCTCTTGATATTGCTCCTTGTTTTATTTCCTTCTCATATATGGAGAGAGATTTTCCTTTGAATTTTAACCTTTATGCAGGAAGCAAACATTTCAGTTATCGTGTTTCTTTTCAGCATGATGTGTGCATGTGTGTGTGTGTGTGTGTACAGATTTGATGTACTATGTTAATGAGCTTTTCATGTCGAATAAGCAAATTTTTGAATAAACTTCTATGTCATATGAAGTAGTTCCAGTTTCAGGTGATACTCTTAGGCTTTTTGTGTGAATATATAGCTTTAATTACTTCTGAGATGATAAATTCGAGGTTCTAGCATTATGTTCATTCTTGTCTCTTGATATTGCTCCGTGTTTTATTTACTTCTCGTATATAGAGAGAGATTTTCCTTTGAATTTTAACGTTTATGCAGGAAGCAAACATGTCAATTATCGTGTTTCTTTTCAATATGATGTGTGCACGTGTGTCTACAGATTTAATGTACTATGTTAATGAGCTTTTCATGTTGAATAAGCAAATTCTTGAATGAACTTCTGTGTAATACAAAGTAGTTCCAGTTTCAAGTGAACTCTTAGGCATTTTTGTGTGAAAATATGGATTTAATTAGTTCTGAAATGATAAATTTGAGTTTCTAGCATTATGTTCATAACGTAAAATGGTCTGTGTAGACTGTTTTTGTGTGCTGAACTGAAAAGAGAAGGGAGAATGGACAGAGAACCCAATACATTTGAGTAGATTCATGCTTTTAAGCAGATATTCTATATAACAAACATGTGTGTATACGTGTCACAGACTGATAAGCAATTTTTCAAAAAAGTACTAACACGATACGTTGTTGACACGTTAGTTAAATTCTTTAAAATTTCTCATTTATATAATATAAATTTAGTTTTATATTTGTTATTAATTTTTTTTATTGAAATCTTTTAAATATGATTACTTATTTGTTATTTACTTATAGTTTTAAGTTAAAAATATATAATATTTTTGATAAAGAAAAAAATGATCATGATAGAGTGTCTGATGAGTTGATATCTGACATGGACACTATATTCTAGTTAAAGTATTTGTGCAACAAAGGAGGATGGAGTATAAACATTTTATTTGATTTCTATTTTCTTTTTATTATGTTACTATCATTACTTCATTATAATTTTTTCTTCCTTCCTTTCCCCTCCTTCCCTCACTTCCTTTCTCGTATTCTTTCTTTTGTGTGTGTGAAGGGAGGGGGCCGAATTTCAAGAAGGCTTTATCTAACTATAGTGAAAATCAATCAGGAATCAACCTACTGAATGTGTATATTCTTTGCAAATTATATTTTTTCCTGTTGGAAAACATTATTGGCTATTTACACTCCTTAATCAAGGCTCTTTTTCATAACATCTTTTGTGTGTAGCTCAAGCCATTATTCCACTTTAGACATCATGAACCTTAAGCTGTTGTCAGATTCATATTTTAGTACTTCTGCATCCTGCAGAATTTCTTGATAGTTTTCACTATTGGTCCCAAACCTATTACCCCATGGCCAATTTGCAAATTGGACCAAATGTTCAATTTTTCCTTATGTATCCTGATTTGTATACGATTTCTAAAGTGCAAGCTTTGTAAATTTCATTTCTTGCAGCTGATTTCAATTTGACTATTCTCCAGGATATAAATGGAAGGCTTTTAACTGTAAATAAGGCTGCTCCAAGAGGTTCACGACCAGAAAGGACTCCCAGAGAGTTCGAGCCTTCCTTCAGAGTTTATGTTGGTAATCTACCATGGCAAGTGGATAGTGCACGACTGGAGCAGCTATTCAGCGAGCATGGCAAAGTGGTTGATGCGAAGGTAGTATATGATCGGGAGAGTGGCCGCTCACGTGGATTTGGTTTCGTGACAATGTCGAGTGAGACTGAATTGAACGACGCTATAGCTGCCCTTGATGGACAGGTAATTGATATGGCCCTACTATTTACATTTTTGTACTTTCATTTTCCTTGTATCAAAGTTGATGCACAGAACCTGAAATAAATTTTGCTGTGAACAATAGTAGCCTCTACTCTTAAGTTAAATGCAAGGGAAGTCTAACCATTCTCGATAATACAATATTCCGTAATTAAAATTAATCAGAATCATTACATTTAGTGACCTTCAATAAGTAAACCACATATTTCATCATCCATTGGAGAATGCTTATGCACTAGCCTATGGTGCAAGTAAACATGCCTAACCTAATTATTAATTTTTCTGGTACCAAATGTTGAATCTAAAAATCAACCTTAAAAGGCAAACTCAAGTGCCAAATTAATATTTGTCAAATATTTTGGGCATTTGAACTGCAAAATTTTGTTAAATATTGTTCTGGCATGTTAAAGTTGATTTAAAATTTAAATTCAACTGTAGTAGTTTAAATCAGCATACCCTTGTGAGTAAATGAAACTTAGATACAAACAACTGGACAATGGGAGATGAATCCAATGCTAGCCACCAACCTCTGTTTTGAAGTGAGCACAACTCTTCAATCATTTCGATTTACTTGAAAACCCTTCTGTTTGCATTACCTTTTAGTTATATATTATAACTGGTGACTGTGATCTCCTGAGATCTTTCTATATAGCAATCGGGAAAGAGTAAGAAATTATAATACTCGAGGTGTGCATATGGCATGCAGTATTAGATTGTATTCGACAGTGTAATTGATAATACTTTTACTTTCTAAATGTCATTCAGTAGTGTTTAATCCACCTTAATATACAAGCAAGAGGTGTATTGTTTGGTTGATCTATCTCCAACTCACAAGTTAGAAAGAACGAGTTTCTGACCTCGTGTGTAATTTGTGATGCAGAATTTGGACGGAAGGGCGATTCGAGTGAGTGTTGCTGAGGAAAGACCAAGGCGGAGCTTCTTTTGAATCAACTTATTTCTACTGCAATTGTTGCATTATTCCATTTTTAGACAGAAAAAATTTTGTGTCGTCTTTGCTTACAATTCTGGTTTTGTATGTTTGCAATTTCTCTATTTTCTTCCACACCCACAAGGTTTGTCCTGCTTATTCCAATTGCAATGTCCACAAAACTGAATGGTATGTAAGTGGAGAAAATTGCCCGTGTTTGATTACTATTATTTGGGAACTAGTGATTTTTAGGAGAATGCGTGGTTAAGAAACGGGACAAATTTTTTTATTTACGTATAGAATATTTTATTGTGTGAATGTGTGATTGAAAATGAGTATGTAGAAAAAAGAGTTAGAAAATAATGATTGTCAAACAGGGATAAAGTATAGATGTCATATTCTAAATTATTGAAAAAAAAAAATTATTTATTTATTTTATAGAAAGCAATCAAGAGCTTAACGTAATGAATGAAATGAGATCTCGGCCGATTAAAACTTGTCCATATAGTTTAATTGACGAACAACATAAGCGTGTACATGGCTGTGGGAATTTTAAGAGATTTTAATAAAGATACCATGTGCAACATTTTCGTCGATCTATATATGAAAATAGGAAAAATTATAGTGAGGGTTCCGAACCTTTCAGTTTATTCAAAATACACCTTAACCTTTTATTTTTGTGATCACAGTTTCAAATCTTTCACTTTAACGACAATTGAAGTCCATTGGACAAAATTCGGCCACAATTTTATTAGTCAACACTAAAATTGGAATTTTGACTTAAAATGAAACTTTTAATGTTAGGTAAAATTGTCATTTTACATTTCTATAATAAAAACTTTAAAATAATTACATAAAATAAAAAAGAAAGAAAAAAGAAGAAGAAAGAAATGTTCATCTTCCCATACCTCCCAACCCAATTCTTTCCTTGAAGAGTTAAGCTATATATACAAAGTTGGTTGACAAAGTAATATCGACACCAATCATTTCAAAAATAGATTTTTAAATCATTGGAAATCAATAACCTAAATTTTGTCAAGACTTAGCCCCCGTTTGGTTTCTATTATTTGTTCATTAAAATAAAAAATATGACTGTTATCCATAACATCAAGTCACCATATTTGACCTTTTATCTCTTGTGTGAGGTCCATAACGACTATATTTTTCATTCTCATTTTTAAATTAATGTGTACCAAACGGGGTCTTATTTTTAAATCATTGGAAGATCTTAGTTTATTTATTTATTTAAAATTTTTATTATAGAGAAATGTAACTTGATCAGTTTACCCATCATTAAAGCCTCGTTTAGCTCCATTTAAATTATAGTTCATTTTTTTAATCTCTTTTTATCAGTCACATATTCTCCAATAAAATAATATTAAATATAATTCCAATTTTTTTTTAATTACATATTTTTCCAAAAAAAATATTATTTCAACCATTAAAATTTTTAATAATAGGGGTCAAACGATGGCTTAATTTGTAACTTTAAGTCAAAATTCCAATTTTAGTGTTGACTAAAGGAATTGCGAATTGATTCTGTCCAGTAGAATTCAGCTGCCATTAAAATGAAAGATTTGGGTCTACGATCGCAAAAATAAAAGATTAAGGTGCATTCTGCAATAAATCGAACAATTTGGGACATTCGTTGCAATTTCCCCTATAAAAAAATATTGCGCAATAGCATATTAATTTATGAGTAATATGACAGTAAGTGTAGTCGATGGATTAAATCATTAATAAAGATGCTCAAAAGAAAGTCTAGTTGTTGGATTAAATTATTAACATCTCCACAATTAATGCAGCCAAGCCCCTATAGCTCAGTGGTAGAGCGTCAGTCTTGTAAACTGAAGGTCTGCAGTTCGATCCTGCATGGGGGCAATAGAATACATCCTTTTTCCGTTTCGTCGCTTCAGTTATATACAATTCCAACTAAAGTCGCATACGGAAATCTTGCTATTTCTGTATCGAAAATAGTAAAAATAGATCTTCCATTGTACAATTCCAGTTTATAAAATCTAAAACCTCAAAACCCTAATCCACAAACACTCTCCCTCCTTTCTTTCAATTTCGATTTTTGATCCAGCCATTTTTAACTGCAATATGGCTACTTCTATTCTCCAGAAGCTCCTCAGAAACCAATCTCAGTCCGCTACAAAAATCATTCAACACCTCAACAAACACCACCCGCCATTGCCACTACCGTTTCTACTTAACCAAATTCCTAATCAAACTAGACTATTGGATCATATACCTTCACCGGGTCAAACTGAGCGAGCAGAGGTTTCAAAAACGGAACTCTCGGTTTCTTCATGCGTCTACCCGAGTTTTTCTTTTGGATTTTTCCTGAATTCGGTTTCTTCAACCGTAACGATTGGATCCAGTATCAACGAATTCGTTTTGGATGATTATCGGACGACATGGTCTGACCCAGATTCTTTAATCGGGTCAATTCGACCCGGAGAAGATGGCATTGTTTTGGATGATTCACGGGCTATATGGGCTGACAGTGTTAAGAAGAAGAGAAAGAGGAAGATGAACAAGCACAAGTTGAGGAAGTTAAGAAAGCGGCTAAGGAGGAAAACGAAGACTTAGATAGTAGTCACATTATTTGCTTAATCATCGGGCGAGGTATTCTTTCTTTTTGTGGGGATAAAATATACCTCAATTATTTGTTTAGGCTAGGGTTCAGCCCACAGATCCCTTGTTTTACTGTATCACAAAAGGATTTTGCTAAATTAATGACTTTTTGTGGTGGAAGAAATTTTTTAAATGAGTTGCCACACGTCCTAGGAATAAGCTGACAAAATCTGGTTCGTTTTGATTGTTATTTGTTGAGTAAACATTTCTTGGTCGGGTAATTTGCTGATGGTATAATGGCAATTTGACTGAGAATGTTCTATATAGCATTATTTACATGTTTTATATGGTTCATTTGATTATGAATTGAAGGAAATTTTCAAATGTAGTGCACATTGTCAAATAAGTTGATTTAGATGAACTGAATATAATGTATACCTGATGATATTTGTTTTTCTCTGCTACATATTTAGTTTTGCTTAGAGAGCTTCGTTTGAGAAATACAGGCTAAGGAGCATGGTGTGTACATCTATATACAAAGCAACTATTTTCTCATATGCTACTTGATTCTACATTATAAATGTAGGCAGACGATTGAAGCTTTTGCCTACTCGTTTTAGCTAGAATGGCATGAAATTATACATGTCATGTAGTTGTAGACATATATTTATGAATTATGACAGTGCGGATATGAATTGTTGTGTATTTTCACGACTTGGATATGCTTTATGGCGTTGAATGAAAAATTCAATGGATGGGGTTGATTTCTTTCCCTAGCATATGGGACAAGGTGAAGAGTGTCATTTGGAAAACTTGGTAATAAGAATAATATTCGAAATAAAAGGCTATTTATTGGTTTAGTATAAGTTACATTTAGCCCTTGTTTAGTGGGGACTAAAATAAGGTTTTTAGTAGATTTTGATTGAAGTTGATAATATGTGTGGTTGAAAAGCTGTGGAACCATAAAATAGGTGGTTAAAATTAATTGCTGACTTTGACTTAAATTAAAATTTGGATTTTAATCAGTATCAAATGGGGGCTTAGCGTATCGATTGCGAGATACATCTAGTGTTTCAGTTTCTCTGGTGTTGTTGTTTGTTCATCATCTGATACGGGAGTTTTTTGTATATATATTCTGGGAACTACTGTTGTGGGTATCTCGAAGAACATGAATAAGTCATTAGTTGTTGGGAGAGTGGAAGATGAATTGTGAGGAGGTTCATACTGATTTTGATATCTTGACTAATCTCGGAGTTTTTAGTGTGGTTAAGAGAACTAGAGCCAAAGAAATAGTGAAAAATAGAATATTATATGCATTGCTCATTAAGGATTTATTCATGCTTGATTGTTGGTTTCTCAAGAGGATAAGTAACTGAAATTACATTGGACATCATGGAACATCTCCATCAAATCATCATTGAGGCTTACGTTGAATTTTGATCTGGTTTCGTGTTCTTTTTTCTTCTTTTCTGAAGCATGGAACTTAGCTTTTTATAGGTTAGCAGCTTACAATTGGCCTTCTAGATTTAGAAACAATTTGCTTCTGTGAAACAATTTGGAAATGACCATTTGGTCTAATTTGGAATAGATATATAATATGGTGTCTCTCTTTTTTATCTGGTATGAACGTTGACAGTGGTGATTGAGACTTTCAAATGTGTCTTATTTGAAATCAAAAATATTAATATTATATTTCTTTCCTCTCCTTTGATTTTGAATTCCTTGAATTAACTAAATATACACTGCTACTGTGCTACATGACCAGTAGGTTTGTTGCGATGTTTCTCAGTAAACATCGACAGTCATGTATCCATTTTCTACTTTATGGGATACTGGGCTTCAATTTCATATATAGCTAACATGACAACTCTACCTTTCATGTTCTTCTTTCTTAATTTATGGGGTTATGATTTCTCTTTCATTATAGGCAGCATCACCCATTGCTATCCACTAATTCCTCTGGGTCAAAGTAGGTCTGATATCTATATTATTTGACGTGGTATTTCTATATCAATCATTGTGTATCAATGATAGATCTGTGTTCCCAAATTGTATGTAGTGGGATCACAAACATGTTTTTCTTTCTACATTTGTCAGATACAGAGAATGGTACAATGCACTCTGTCACTACCCAGAAATTGATCTCCAGCTGCTACTAAAATCATCACATCTCACCGTTGACTTTTATTCTGACACAAATCCCTCTAACCACCATTCCCATTGGTGAAAACCTGTATATCGGCTCAGAATAAAGAATTAAACCGAATTATGGGCTTGGCTGTGTGAAGTAAAAGAAAAAGAGGAAGATGACAATATAGGTTGGCTGGTTTAGGAAAACCCAATTGAGCTTCGCCTCACACTGAGGGGAGCAAAAATGGGCTTCAAAGCACTGATTGTGATGCAGTTTTAATAGTCGATTGATTCAGTTGCGTGAGACGCACGACTCATAGCACTGTCTTAAATTTTGTGAGGCATGCACTCCTCAATTCTTTTGACTTGTTTACTTTTCTTTAGGTGTGGATCCACAAAATATAAAAATTCTAATTTACTAGTTTGGGAATATCTCACTGCCTACTAAATCATTAAAAGTTGTGTTTCTCATAGACCCATTTTGGGAACAATTGTACTCGATTTATGCCTTTTTAAACACTGTTTTAAGATTGGTAGGTTAAGGAAACTTAGGAAGCATCTCAAGAGCTATACAGTTATTTTTGTTATTTAGGGGATGGTGGAACTTATCGTTCAAGTTACTGTGAGATTTGTCTCTGTTTTATTTTGTATTGAGAATATTTTTCCCATTAAATTTGTGGTGGAACTTATTGCTCACTTTTTGAGTAGGTTCGCCACTATTTTAATTTGTTCATTTCAGTCTTGACTAGTATGCATTTGAATAGCACAACCATGAGAGATGGGATTTGTAAATTATGTTCATAACTTCGATGTTATTATTATTATTATTATTATTTTTATGATGGGGGAATTCACAGTCGCTACCCTTCGAGTGCGCACTGGGTAAACCCTCGGGCTGATGCAATAGCTTGCAAACCACGCTAGCCAGGTTGTTCGATCGAGAGAGTGTTGGTAGGGGAATAACTTCGTTATTCTTTTTTTTTTTTTTTTTTTTTTTTTTTTTGTTGACAAGGGAACCCGCAGTCGCTACTCGAAGGTGCACACTAGGTAAACCCCGCCTTGTTATCCTAGTCGACAAAGGACCACAAGGAGGTAAACCAGCCTAGGTTACAAGAAGAACATATGGCTGATGGTAGAACAACCATGAGTTTTATTGGAGTATAGTCCCTCTTCAGTCTTCGGGAATCGCCAAATTTGTCTACAGGTTTTGCATTTTGGTCTAGATTCATTATTCATTGCCCAAAAAAGATGAAATTATCTTATACCCGTATCTGAGGTTCGACGGTAACAGAAAGTCATGGTTTGACACATACATAAACCTTCGGTTCTGTAAATCTATGTTCTGAAGATGGACACATCACATCAACTCACGGGAACGAGAATGGTTTGATTTCCATGAGCCCTCTTTTCAATTCTTGTTCTCATGATGATAATATGAGCTGTTATTTTATAATATTTGTCATGGATGTGATGTGATGGGATGGTGGTTGGGGTGTTTAAGTCATGCTTCTATTAGCCATAAATTAATTTATGTGACAGTGATGGTGTCACTTCTGAAGTGAGCAATTCCAAGGCCAAATATTTGGCTTGTTTATAAGGATACCAGGCACAGAGGATTGCCTGTCTTTATGGACAATGCACGGCTTGCTTTAATTTTTTTTAGGTAGTTACTTATAAGTAAACTTATTGAGCTCAACCAATCATGGTCAAATCTTAGAGCTATACTGGATCTCCCATTTCTTTTTTTTTTTTCTTTTTTTTTGAGATCCTTAAAACGTTCCCAAATTCGTGGTCTAAGCCTTGTTTGATTTTCATCTTTTTCAAAGTACATTTTTCTTTCTTATTTTTAACTACATATTTTTCAATAAAATAATACGAAGAAATTACATTATAGCAGTATTTAAAGATTACAATTCATAGATCAGGTATCAAGTTTATTACTTCAAATATCAAGATAATTAATCTACTCATTTCCATTCTCTCCCTACCTCTCCTATCTCTTATCACCATCATCGGAACCAATAAGGCACAACACTCATAGCAGTGAACACTGCTCATCGTTATAGAGCTAATTTGTTGAAGGTTTGCTTTGTTTGGTGGTTTGATTGCAACGCTGCCTCAATTCAATGTATTGAAATTCTTTTATACGGAGATTTAAGCATCGCCTCGATCCGTTCTAATGGAGTGGTGGTTTGTTGAATAGGCACCTCGAGCGCAGTCATGCTAGGTGGTCTGCGACATAAGGGATGATGACGCTATGAGGGGCGCTGCATTATTGCGGTGATCTAGTGGCACCCACTCCCAAGACCTCCAATTTGCTATTTGTTCTTTGTGGATTTGAAGTGATGGCAGCGACGAGTTTGGGGTTTTTTTTATTGGATGGTGATTGTGGTGTGGTGGATGTAGAGATGTATATTTTTTGTTCTTTCTGGTGATTGTTTTGATTGTTGAGTTGTTATTGGCGGTAGTGGTAGTGCAGTAGTGGTGGTGGATAGTGTTAGAGTTGGTTGTTGGTGGTTGGAGATCTGATAAAGGTGATTGTCGTGATTTTTGTTGGTAGATTGGATCTGGTGGTGGCGATGGCAGTGACGGGGTGAGTATTGTCACAAGTGGCTGTGGTGACAGTAGTTGTGGTGATAGTGTTGGTGGTGATGGTCTGTGACCCACTATTTGGTATATGTGACCAGCTATTTAGTATACTTGTGAACAATTATTTAACTGTGACCTTATAATTTGATAATTTATGATTAAAAAATAATTTGTAACTAACAAATTTGAAAATATATGATAGATAAATTGTGTCCTATATTTTTTTATCCGTGACAAATCAATTTGACAATATGCGATCAATAAATAAGTTGTGACATATATTTATGTATCTGTGGCCATTAATTGAATAATTGTGACTTTATTATATTTAACTAATAAAATATTTTTAATTAATAAATAAAAACTTAATTTTTGTAATTTTAAACTTAAGCTTTGGAAATTGATTTGGTGATACTTAATATCTGATTTATGATTTTTAAAAAAAAATAATATTACACGTGAATTTAATTTTTAATTTTTTTAACCATACATTCTTCGTCAAATGATCGTCTCAAAATGTAATTTTTAAAAACAAAAATTTAAAGTGGGCATCAAAGAGGCAAATGGTTTGAATTTAAAAAGCTCGGAGAATTCTATGACAGGGGAATGTCCCCAATATGAGGTACAATGTTCTTGGATCCTGATTAAATAGTACAAATTCATCCTATCTTTCCATTGTGAAAAACGCAATATCAATTAAAGAGGTCCAACAAGTCAAATAACAACAACAAATAAGTTTGGCATGAAAAGACACGTGTTTGCATCACGAATTTTTAGCTTTTGTGGTAATGTCTATTTCTATTTGTGTTTGTTCTGCCTGTTAATTGAGATTGACTATGAAGAAATATAGATAAGATTATCGAGTCAAACATAGATTATATAAATTAGGGAAATTTGCACTTTTCGTCCCAATTTAAATAAACACATTAAAAGAAAGCAACTTAATAAGAAAAATAGAGGAAAATTCGTAGAAGGAGATCTAAATCTTTTAAAACAACTATAAAAAATTACAATTAAATACAATTGACCAACAAAATTAGAAAAGTAACGAAAAAAAAAGTCTTCTCCAATCCCCTCCACAACCCCCAACCCAAAACACCACCTGGTTGGAGAAGAAGACCCTTTTTTTTTTTTTTTTTTTTATTTTTTTTTTTTTACCCAAAACACCACCTGGTTGGAGAAGAAGACTCTTTTTTTTTATAATTATGATCTGTCTGTAATTTTTGAAAAGATTTAGGGCTCTTATCGTAATTTTCTTTTTTTTTTTTTTTTTGATTAAGTTGCTTTTTTTAAAATAAAAAAAATGCGAAGAGTCAGCAAGTTCTTCAATTTACGCGACGTCGATAGTAAAATCTATGGAATGAAGAGCATTGTTACATTTTTGAACGGTTGAGGACATATGGTGCTCAAAAAAGTTGCTAGTAGATCAGTGACGGTTTAAAACATTTTGGGACGAAAAGTGCAAATTATCTCACACACTCTAAAGATGAAATTATACGATAATACGTGGTTTAACCTAAAGTTTGTTGTTTATATTAATTTAATTAGCTCAAATCATCATCATATCCCATGGAGATTTTGTGGTCATTGAACATGCATCTTTTACTTTATCCAAAATCATCTACTATTGTAGCCTTATTAATTTAAACTACTTTTTCTTCACCTAACGTAATTATTTATAAATTAGGCACCAAAGCACACCCGCACCCCACCCCACCCAACCCCACTATATATATTATTATTAACTATAACGCGTGCGTGTGTGAATTTACCATTGGCGTAAAAATAAGAAAGGAAATTTTTGCGCTGCTCATTTAACGTATGGTTATAATAGTAATTTTCTAGGACTCTTAAACTTTTATTATAATTATAAAATTAGTTCATAATGACAACAATTGTCAATATTTATGTAAAATTATCACATGATCCTCGTATGCATAACTTTATCAAACTGAGGGCCTATTTGATGGGCTTCATTTTCCATAGAAAATGGAATTTGCACCCAAATGGTATGTTTGATGGGCAAAATTTTTCATGAAATTGATTTTTCACCCAACCTCTCACGTGACCCCTTTTTCCATGTTTTTAAGGAATTGATTTTCCTTTGGTTTTAGTGGAAATTGGTTTTCCAGTTCCAGTTGTTCTTTTTTTAATTTTTTTTTTTTGACAATTGGAACAAATTCGATCATTTTAATTGACAATTTTAATGAAGAACAAAGTAAAATGAACATCAAATGATAAAAAATTTCAACATTTTTCAGGTTAAAAATTATACCAATCAAACACATTTAATTGACAATTCCTCAAAAAAAGGTTCTAGATAATTCAATTTCTTGGAATTCGTTTTCTTTTCACTCAAATTCCATTCATGCAATTAAATGGACCTTAAGTTTTGTTTTACAATTTGGTTGGATTGACTAATATTAAAAATTTAAACCGATTTACTTATTCAAGAGGATCACGTTACAATTCAAAGGATACTTAGATTATGATGCCATTATTGACTAATTTTTATGAACCCACTTGTTACTTTATAAATTATAAGAATTAATTTGTTATTGAGGCATTAAATCGAGAACCATGGTGCAATTTTCCCACAACTTCAATGCATCTCACCTATTTGAAATTATTAAAGATGCCAAGTTTGCCTAATGAATAAATCCACCACCCTTGCCTTTCTTGCCACTTTCATCGACTAAACTTTTGTATTATATTTTAAAGTTCAAAAAGTAATTAAATTCAATCTTTTAGAGAATATAACGATGAATCAAATTTAAATTCATTACGAACAAGACTCTTTTTATGATTATTTGTCGTAAACAATTAAAACTCCATTTTTATTTTTATTTACATTGAATTTTTTTTTTTTTATTTTAAAGCAAAACAGACATGGCATGTGGGCGTTGCACCATTTTTTGTATACCCAAAATGAAAGAATTGAAAAAGATAAAAAGAAAGTAGGAGAGGGTTGTTAGAAACATCTCTTTCAACGTTCATTTAAGCAATAATGCAAACACCCATGCGTTGTGTGCCTCATCAACACCCCACCCCCCAAACACCTCAAAACCACTAATTTGAGTTGTACTTATAAACTTATCAAACATTAACCTTTTAACAAATTAATTTCAAATGTAATGCACAACAAGCTTGTAACTTTAGTATAGGACCAAACCCTTCTTCTCGAACTTTAAATATAAATATGACATCTATAAAATATTACTCCAGTACAAAGAAGATTTAAAAATCGACAGTGAAGCCTTTTTTTAGCTCATCGAAAGGGAGAGTAAAACAAACCACTAACTTTTGAATTTTATTTTTTGTTTTAACACTCAAACGAACTTTCATTAGTAATAACTTGTCGCGTACTGTTGACAAAAATACAATTGATCCGTATGCAATTAGTGAGGGGACTATTGGGAGCCTATTTGGAAGTGATTTTGAGAATTGATTTTTTGACCGTTAGGAGAAAGTGTGTTTCACTTGTGAGAGAAGAAATTAAATATAATGGCTGGAATAGTGAAATAACGGTTAAAAAATCAATTTTTTGTGAAAAAAATCACTCACAAACAGGCTCTGGCACTGCAACCACGTGGAGCTATTATATTCCTATTTTTAAGCGTAAATTAACACGATACGCACCCTAATTGCTAAGAATATTCATAGTATTAGAAATTATTTATGCATTGATAGCACTCATTCTTAAAGCATCTCTTTTGTGAATTTATAAGCACACGGAACATCTACTCTTTATAAATTTAATTTTAAGTTTTAATTAACTTATTTATAATCCTAGTATCGGAGATGACTCTTGAAATTTTCCTTGCAAACTAGACCACATCGAAAATGCTACTTCAATAAATATTACTTGTGAAGTCTGCCTAGTCGAATTATAAGCGCATGGAGCACTTTTTCACTTATAAGTGAATTTTGAAAGTAAGTTTTGTTACTTTTGCGTAAAATATTTTCCCTCTATGGTAGCACATGCACACACTTTTCCCCTTTCTGTCTGTCCACCATTGTTGCTTCTCCCATACACTTTCACTCTTCTGGAAACTATTCAGTTAAAAAAAGGAATTTCCATTCATTCCATTTGATTATTCTAGTTTTTTCTGTTCAATTCAAAGGAAAAAATTACTCTGTATCAGGGAAGGATCAATGGGTGGAATGACGTCATCAATGGCGGCGAAGTTCGCCTTCTTTCCGCCGAATCCGCCGTCGTACAAGGTGGTCAAGGATGACGTCACGGGGCTGCTTCTGTTGAGCCCGTATCCGCATCGGGAGAATGTGGAAGTGATGAAGCTGTCGACTAGGAAAGGGACGGAAATAGTGGCGATGTATGTGAGGCACCCCATGGCCACCTCCACTCTGCTCTATTCACATGGAAACGCCGCCGATCTAGGGCAGATGTATGAGCTGTTCATCGAGCTCAGTATTCATTTGCGCGTCAATCTCCTCGGGTAAGTATCTCGTCTAAAATTAGAAGCTGTAATCGGATTCGGTTTCTGATCACAATTCTAACGCGTGCACAGTTTTTTTTTTTTTTTTTTTTTATGTAAATCTTGTTTTCAACACATTCTCTCTATTATATGTAATCACGATTTTTTGGGTTTTATGTAACATATTGTTACTTTCGGAGTCTGAAATTTCCATAATTTCAGCTGTTTAAGGGTTTATCATAATATTTTTAAGTTAGTGTTGATGGTGGTTTATTTTTCATTACTCCGTTCTTATGCCTCAGGAAATTATGTGGCAAGAACCGCAAGTCCATAAAGAAATTAGGACGAATTTGTTGATTTAATCCGCAGATTTGATTTTGATTCTATTTCAACGGGTTCATGTGAAATAAATTAGGAATGGATTTTTATTAAGAATCTTTGAAGCATATGATAATCACTCTTGCTGCTGGCCGTTAGATCCAATTAGTTTACTTTTGATTCTTATTTCTTTATAATGGTGTTTTGGATCAAAGGTAAATTTTTCTTATGCATGATGCCTTTTTCTTCTCTGTTCTAAGACAAGCTTAAGAATGGTGTTTTTGCTTTGTTAAGACTTTGTAGGCTAGTTTGGTTTAGATAATCTGTATATTCGTCATTTGTTTTGAGGTTTACAATTTGATTAGGCCGTGCTATTATGGTTGCTAAAGCTGATGAAATGACAATTCAGGAACCCTTGTAATATAGCCAGTCTTGTTGATGGTGTTCGTTTTTCCATTTCCTTTCTTTGTTGAATTGAAAACTTATTCTCTTTGAAATGATGAACTTCAAAGTAAGGTATGCTATTTACTATTTCTTCCAAGTTTTGGCAAGTTTGAGCAGAAGAGCTTGCTTCTTTGAGGGGGCTTGAAGTACTACATTATTTCAAACCAAATGGTACATTAGAGTCAAATCTATGACTACATCGAGGTTAACATGATTTATATGAACCACTTAAGGTTCATTAGTTCACCAATAAACTTGTTGGTCTTGTTTTCAAAGAATAGATATGAAGTCCTCTGAACTCCTATGAAAATGCTCAATTTAATGAAACTCTTATTTGTGCCAACTTCTACCTTTGTTGAGACAATCTTCATATCACATCAGTGTTGCTTGCTGAAATGTGGGATGCTTTGGATGATGAATAAGAACAGTAGAGTCATTATGTTATTACTAATCCTATTGCTAATTAAGTTCATGGATGAGCTGCCATTATGCCATGGGTTCGAGCATCATAAGTTTCAAGTTAACAGCCATTTTGATTGGGCATTTCGTCTTCCTGTCACACCGTTGTTTTGCGCATGCTAATGTTGCATGTGAAGGCGTTGCTTAAGCTGCATGATCCATGCCTTTGACATGAATTTTCATGCTAATTTCCTGGGCCATTTTGATTTGTTAACTATGCTATCTTGCAAATTCAATTTTTTTGCTGATAATTTGGAACTATATCCTATACAAGCGAATAGCTTAGCCCAAAGTCTTTCCATGCCCCTACTACACCATGCATATAGCCCTTCATTGTTCTACACACTAATGTCAAAGGATTTACACTCTGGTCGAATTGAATAAATATGATAGTGCACAAAGTTATTGTATTCCAATTTCCAATAATATGATAGTAAGAGTGTTAGGAAAGTTGAGCCGATGCAACAAACAGCTTCCTTTGAGGGCGGTGCACCGGAACGTATAGAAGTAGCATCTCATTTATTGTTGTGATCTAAAATTCTCCCAGAAGGAAAAAGGGAAAGAGGTAATTGTTACTTAATTTATAATGGCAGTGTTCAGCAATTCCCTGGTTTTGATGTTTGTGAACAGAAACCCATTTCTAATTTTTCCCGTAAACAGTTATTTGTATAAATTAAATGACCATGGACATCTTTTATAGACGTTAGATACTTCTAGGCATCTGCCATCCTTTTGAGTGCAAGTTCCTGATCTTGTGTGACTGTTTTATAACGATCCTGGCGCTAGAAGAAAACTTTGTAGGTATTGTTATGATTTTCAATACATACAAATGTCTGCCTGTTTAGCAGAAGAATGACTATTGTCTCATGCCCCCTTTAATTTTGATCAGGTACGACTATTCTGGATATGGGCAGTCATCTGGAAAGGTATAGTGTTTTTTCTGTAGAATGTGCTGTATAGTTTGCCTATTGTGCCCCAGCAATATGATTTTCAATGTGTTTTTCCTTCTTATAGCCCAGTGAGCAAAATACATATGCTGATATTGAAGCTGCATATAAGTGTCTTGAGGAGAATTATGGTACAAAGCAGGAAGATGTTATCCTCTATGGACAGTCTGTTGGAAGTGGACCAACTTTGGATCTTGCATCTCGTTTGCCTCGATTTAGAGCTGTTGTCCTGCATAGTCCTATACTGTCTGGCTTAAGAGTCATGTATCCTGTAAAACGCTCATATTGGTTTGACATCTACAAGGTTGTATGACATTCATCTTCTTATAAACGTAGGACATAGAGCTTCCTGCATTTATTTGTTTTGCTAATCTTTGTTCTGCTATTCTATTGCAGAACATCGACAAGATCCCGCTGGTCAAATGTCCCGTTCTCGTCATTCATGTGAGCATTTTAAGAATCTCCGTTTGCATTTTGCCTGTGACTATGACTCGGTTCCATATATTCATCTCTTATTTTCCTCAAATATGGTGGTAATAAAAAAATATGAAACATTTTCATTTTCTGTTAGATTTCATGTCGATCCCTTGGAAAAGAACATGGTTGCACATTCAAAGGATTGGTTACTTATCGAAAGAAAAACTAAATTTTGTTTGGGACTAATGCCTCGGGTCCGAATCACTGTTGATACTATAGAAATGTCAACAAGATACTGTCAGAAACTATTTTCAATGCCTACATAAGCTGTATGGTTGTCTGCTCATCTGTTATGCAGGGAACTGCCGATGAAGTTGTGGACTTCTCGCATGGTAAGCAGCTCTGGGAACTATGCAAGGAAAAATATGAACCCTTGTGGATCAAAGGAGGAAATCACTGTGATTTAGAACTCTATCCTGAGTATATCAGACATTTGAAGAAGTTTGTGGCAACTGTAGAGAGACCTCCATCACAGAGGATGAGTTCTAGGAAAAGCGTGGACCAGTTTGAGCCATCCAGGAAGAGTACAGATATTTTTGAGGCTTCAAGAAAGAGCACTGACCGGAGAGAAAAACCGAGGCACAGCACTGACAAGCCCGAACATATAAAATGTCAGTCGAATAATCCTGACAAGTTAGATAAATTAAGGATCTCATTTGATCAAATTGAAAGATCTCGGAGAAGTGTCGATTGCATTGAAAAATCCCGGAAAAGCATCGACCTTCAGCTTGAAAGAGGTCGAAAGAGTGTTGACAGGTTGGAAAGAATAAGGACAGGGTGAAACTTTTTCCAACTCAATCATAAAACTCGGGCTTGAATATGGTGATATTGGACATAGGAAAGTAATTGGGATTGCTATATTTATTGTATTCGGGGTTTATAGTCTGCTTGTGGGAATTCTGTAATAACTGGTGAATGAAATCGGAGAGAAATGTAATGTCACGGGGAGATTCTTATTTTAATCCTTTGGCATTGTAGGTTGTTTTGGTACGCCTCTTGGCCTTGAGTAATGTTATTCACAGTCAACGATTGCGGTAATCATCATATGTTGCAACTTTTTATTTGAGATATTAATTTCTTATAATTATATTTTCTCAAATAATAAGCTGTTACATAGGATGATTATTATAATCTTTGATTATGAATAGTATTACTTCTTGGCATTTGGTGTGAAAAAACATAGGACCACCTCAGGTCCACTTGAAAAGTTTGGTCCAAGCACTACATGACTTTACAAGAAGGTGGGGTTATGCCGTGCCGATTGGTATAGGATAGTGCCCCGTTTGCGACCTACTCAACCTTTTATTTATTTATTTATTTTTTTTTTGGTGGCAAAGGGGGAGAGAAAAGAAGACAAATGTGACTCTGCAGCAACAAATATATTTATTTTGTTATTCTTCATAAAGGAAATAAGAAATGAAGTATGACTGTTGGGCTGAAGCTAACTGGACACGACCCAGTCTTCGGACAAGTAACGTCGGGCCCCATTTTATCTGATGAGACTTGATCCGATTTACCCTTTATTTAAGCAGACATTTAAAAGTTCTAATTCAAAATTCAGATGGAAAGTTTATTTAAGCAAAAATTAAGTATCAATTCAATTTACCCACCCACCTCACTACAAAACCTAATCTCTCTACACCACCGACCCCTAAGCCGACGCTACCATCATTCTCTCCCTCTTACTCTCTACTATACCGGTGCTGCCATCATTCACAAATGTAGAGAAGCACACCATGTAACCACTTCCTCTATTCTCTTTGCAGATACTTTAATAGACAGGCTTTGCTATAGAGCATTCACTATGAAGATCGGACGGTTTGCACTTCAATCTCTCTCTTCATCGCACTGGAAGCCACCATCGATCTCTTGTCTCCCTCTTTGCTGTCATTGTTGATCTCGATTGCGAAGCACTGCTTGCCGTTATATGTCAGGGATCACTGCAGATCAAAGTTAGAAAAGAGAAGGGGTGGTTGTGGCAATCCATTTGAGAAAAGAACGGATAGTTGTGGTTGTTACAGACCGAAGTCGAAAAAGAGAAGGGATGCTTATGGTTGTAGGGACTGTGGTTTGTTGGTTTTGGTTAGTTGATTTATTTATTTATTTTTGGCGTTGGCGTTGGCATGATGGATCTAAAGACATTGGTAGTGAATTTTGACCATGGAGATGAGGTGTGGTGGTGGATTTAGCATTGTTGGTGGTGGTAATTGCAAACAGTTGTAGTGCTGGTGGCGTTGGCGGGTGGTGGCGATGACGGTTGAGTGGGATGAATAATGTTTGTGGGTGGTGGGGTTTGTGACCATTTTGTTGGTGGTAGCGATTGACTATGGTTGTGACCAATTATCTGGGTGCAGTAGTGTTAGATCGGTGGTGGATCTGGTGGTGGGGTGGCTTTTGTAGGTGGAGGTGGCGATGGTGGTGAATCTGGCATGGATATGTTGATAAGTGGTGGTTTTGTAGTTGAAAATGGTGGTTTCTTGGTGGTTGTAGTGGTGAAGTGGCAGTGGATCTGGTGTGACGATTTGGTTGTGTTTTTTTTTTTTCAATGTGTTAGATTTGTTATAGGTGATGGTGGTTTTGGCAGCAACGACGACGATTGTGTTGTTAAGGGCTTGTGAGGTGGTGGTCACAAGCATTGATGTTGGTCACAAATTATTTAGTTGATTGTGACCATTAAATTAGGTATTGTTGGTGTGTTTGTTGGTAACGATCATGGTGGTTTCTGGTGACGATGATTTTGTTGGTGGTGAAGTGGTGGTGGTGACAAGTGAGGGTTGTTGCATGTGGCGGTGGTGACAATGGAGTTGGTGGTGGTATGTGATCGACTATTTGATCTGTGACCAATTGTTAGTGTAGGTGGTGGTGGTGGTGGTGGATGCACTGATAGTGTCGAGATCGGATGTTGGATGTCCGTGACCAACTATTTGGTCCCGTCTGTGATTGTGACTGTAAACTGTAACATTAAATTCGATCATTTGTCATTAAAAAGTACTCTGTGAACATCAAATTTGAAAATGTGTAACCTGTGATCGTTTTTGAATTTGTAACCAATGATATGAGCTGCGACTCATAAAATTTTTGATCTGTAACCAATAAAAAATTTGTAACCTGTAAATTTTAGATATATGACTTTGAAATAATCTATGACCTACAAAATTTTTGATTTGTGAACTCGAAATAATTTTTAAACAATTAATTCGATGATATATAACCAATACGTAAATCTGTGACCAATAATTATGAATCTGTGACCATTAATCGTGTAACTACATCAAGTTTTCATTATCTAGTTGAGTTATATAATTATCTTATTGAGAATTAAATTTAACTAATTCTAATGGTTGAAAAAAGTAATGCAATTATTCTCGAACAATTAAAAGAACGACCTTCTTTTCACACTAATACGAATATGAAAATAATGGTCAAAATCGAGTTCAAAAGTCAACTGACCATATCGAAAAGCCATGGATTATGAACGTTGGATTGCTTAATTAAAGCAAGAGATCAACAATTTAATAACCTTGAACAAAATCCTTAAAAATCTTTGACCGCCGACCTTTTCCAAATCAAAATTCTTGAAGTTTAAATAGATTTTTGATTGTGATAGCACACGTCTAAGTCTACGCCAACTGTCAAGACATTCGAAAAATCGAAGAATTTTTGGGCAAAAAGTTGTATGAAAACAAATCCGATATGGGCAGGCTTAATATTAAATTAATCAAAAGTATCTCATGTTTAGTATTGGACCGACCTTTTTAGAACATGCATTTCACATCCCCATTTACATGCTAACACAAAATTAACTCGATTAGAGTGCAAATTCCATTTGTATCAATATATTAATCACGCAACCTATTCTTATACCCAGAGGCGGCCCTGAGGGTGCACGAGTTGAGCGACCACACAGGATCTCAAAATTGTAGGGGCATCAAAAAAATTGTTGTTATAGTTGTTTATTTATTTATAATTAAATATTTAAAATATATATTGATTTTAAAATATAAATTTATTATTATTATGCATAAAATATTAAAATTAAGAATAATGTGACCAATTAATTATAATTTCCTTGAATATAATATTTTTAAATAATATACCTTAAATAATGTGAGGAAAAGGAAAAAGTGGAAAAGAGATTAGGCCGGCTAGAGAATTGAGAGAAGAAAGAAAAATTGAGCAACCGCCTTTTTCAATAGTCTTTTTGGAGAAAAGAATTGAGAAAATCAACCGTCTTATTCAAGTGCCTCAAAGATAATTGAGGTAGAGAAGAGAGAAACCAATCGTCTTTTTCTCCAATCATCTTTGATCTGACTCCAAAAATTCTCTCTTTTCTGTTGATAAGTTAAACTCATTGGATGATGCTAATTTGAAAGAATGTTGTGATCATCTTGATATTGTTTTAAGACATGTAAATTTTTGCGATCTCGATGGCGAAAAATTATTTGAAAAGTTAAAAGTTTTGCAAAATCTTTTACCAAAAGAAATAAAGACGGCTTTTGATATATTGACTTATTTGAAAAGATTGGAT